CACGACATACCGTCTCAAAAAGACAGCAAATACTCTTGGAAACATGGATTCGTATGAACCAATATTTGTTTGTACAGTTGTAATATTGTTTTGGGTAAAAACGCGTTTAAAGAGAGATCATCAAATTCAACTTAATTTTGGTCGATATAGTTTTTAAAATACAACGACAAGCAGGGATTCTAGTTGATTTTTGGGTTCCACAAATGCTGTTAAAATTTATAAAATACATCATCTTGAAAATGTATCACCATTTGTATGCATAGTATTTTCGTAATAGGGGAATAAATAAATTATATTATGAGCAAGGGGCACTTCCACTAATAATATTCTACTTAAAACTGTCGAAGAAAATAAATATTTGTTTTGAAAATTAAATCTCTATCACATTTCTACAGGAATAGTATACGAGTATTATCAAAACAAAGTTGCTGTCAACTCAACATTTGTTACATTTTCTCTTAAAAATACTGGTCTGAGTTACAAATTGATGTGAAACACAATATTGAATAAAGTACCTGATTATTAAAAAAATTCTAAGACAAAAAGTACAAGAACAGATTTTTTGTTGGAATTGAATTATTTTATATAAAAGCACTATATTTAGGGCGGAACCAGTGTCATGTCCCTTCAATGTAAAGGGATAATCCTCGGCTCCTCCGACCAGGGTATCAATTCTGCTATTTTAATATTCTATCAACAGACTGTCGATAGAATGTCGTCGGAATTGTTTTGCACTTTTCGTATTCTACTAACTATGTAAGACCAATGGCCTTCCGATGACTTGTAACTGAACTGCAACTGATACAAAGGTCTTCGATGTTTTTGTAATAGTTTGGTAAACGGTACATTCCCACTTTGTAAGGAAATGGTATATTTAATTTTCCAGTTTTGGCAAAGTTGTTAATTAATTTGGCATTAGTGAGCCATTGTCACTACATCCACAGTCTATCACTGTAATATTATGTTAGTAGAATACCGATATTTTGACGGCTATCAGTGGCATCTCAATAGCGTGATAATGGAATGACAATAGCTTGTCTGTTACCATAAACTGAGGCCGAGGTGAAGTGATCACGCCTGATGGAGCGCGGCTCAACGCTGCTAGATTAGTAGTTACTTCGTAATTAGTTGTATTTTCTATTTTTTATTTAATTTTATGGTAAGTGATTACCGCCACCCATGGCACCTATAGCTCAAGAGTCACAAGTGCGTTGCTGCTCTTTGAGTCCCCGCCCTACCAGAAATAGGGGGAACAGGAGGGGGTCATCTACCCGCTATAGATGGCCCGAGGTGCGTCGGGGTACCAGGGATTTTCTTTCTAGGTTCCTGGTACTCGAGACGGCATGCGGTTTTTGGTCGGTTTGAGTCCGACATAACAACCAGTGGGTGGTAACCAAGGTGTGGTGAAGTCCTTACTAAGTTAAGTCACTTACTGCGTAGTGGGTGTTGCTGCATAGACGAAAGCTAGTGGCTCTTCTTATGGAAAACGTAGATGCTGATGAAGTGGTAGTGGTCTACCACTTCATCAGCATCTACGTTTATAATTTTTAAATTCAGCCTAATTACCAAATTAGGCTAGTTTTCGAAATTATGGAAGACGGGAAAACTGGTCCTTATCCGAAAAGAGGGGCGACGGGCTGACTCATCGCCCGCCTAAAGGGTCCATAGTGTTGCTTGACGAGGTATGCAAATTCTTTGAAAGGGTGATTATAATAATAATAATAATGATCATGCGCGTGAGGGCTCTGGCGAAGGGAGCGGTTTCCCGGGGCGAAGTGATGTTGGCGGTGTCCTTGGACATTGGCTGGGTCTTGAGGTGGTTCTGCACAAATCCGAGGCATTGTTCTTTCATGGGCCTCGGAGGGGGCCATCTGAGGGATTCAACCTTATAGTAGGAGGCACTCGCATCGGCATTGAGACCTTGATGAAGTATCTGGGGCTCGTATTTAATAGCTGATGGGACTTCGGACATAATTTCCGAGATCTTACCCCAAGTTGGTTGGAGCACTACGTGCATTGGCGCGGCTGCTACCCAACATATGCCGGGGGCTGCTACCCGATGACTTCTGCAGGAGACTCTACTCCGGGGTCACCTGTGTCTTGAGCCAATGCCTGGGTGCCGCCACTGCGATGGCTGGACCGTGGAGACGGCACTCCACATACTAGCAGAATGCCCGGCGTGGGTGGAGCAGAGGCTCTCGGAGTTCTCTCGCTCGGCAACATGATTGCGACCATGGTGCGGAGCGAGAGTGCGTGGAACGCCGCCGTCTCTTTCTGCGAGCAGGTTATGCTTGCGAAGGAAATGGAGGAGCGGGACCGGGAGAGGTTCAGAACACTCCGGGGTCGCCATGCCCGAAGGTCGCAGAGCGGCCTCCGTTCTGCATAAGCGCAGGCCTGAGGGTAACAGGTGAGGCCATCTGTCACTCTAGCAGAAGCAAGCCGTGCAGCGCGCACGCCCTTCGGGGGCAGGAAGGGAACATCCGGGTTTCCACCAAGGAGGGGTCATCTATAAGCCGTAGATGGCCCGAGTTACGTCGGGGTACCAGGGCTTTCCTTTCTAGGGTATACCTGGTTCCCCGGCTACTGGTACCTGGAGACGGCGTGCGGGTTTTGGTCGGTTCGAGTTCGATATAATAACCCACTGGTGGGTGGTATCCGAGGGGAGTTCCGCACAGAAAAAAAAATGTTATAATCAGTGTAGGTTTTTCAGCTCGTATTTAAACAAGAGAAAAAAAGCAAAATGAAATACCTTGGTTTTTTTTTCCATTTGTTACTTTACTTAACTTTGTATCACTTCACTTCTCTTCAATTTACTGAAAATTTAATGCATCAAAAAATTGGTCTACAAATTGTGTTACATTGGGCGGTCACAAGTCAGACATGTAAACAAAAAACAGCATTTATATGCAGAATGTTTTGTTTTTAAATAATTGAATATACATGTGTGAGCCACGACTATTGCTCGTTAGGTTTATTACTCGTAGTATTTGAAACAAAGAACTGCTTATTGCGAAATATTTTTTGTAATGAGCTTCTTCTCTTTAAAACTTTGTTCACTATCTGGGTGTATTTTTTCTATAAAATGTTTAGAATTTATTAGCAGTCTGGTTGCCATAGCACAGACTCTGCCTAGTTTAGAATCAGGCGGTTGTGTGTGTGATGTGTGAAGTTATTTTTATTCTCTTTATTTATTTTATATACATATCAATTATATTTAAAAAAACACAATTTAGGAAAAAAAAAATTAACATATAAAAATAGTAGATCACTGACATCGGATAAGGGACCAAGACACCGGTGATTAGAACTCAAAATATAGGAACTTCCTGATACAGGCCATGTCAAGGAGAACTGCTTTCTATATCAGACCCTCAGGGGTCTAAAGAGGCTCTTAAGATGTTGGTTAAGGATCTTGGCTATTAATCCGTGAGCAGATACGACAATCGGAACAATTATCACTGAATCGACATTTCACATATCGACAATCGCGTGAGATAAATCCAAATATTTTATTTTAACAGGCTTATTGGCAACAATAGTCCTGTCCTCCTCCTGCAAATATTCACCGTTAGCGAGACGAAAACTACCAGAAATAATATGCTTGATTGATTCCCCGGGACCGTGGCATGCTAGATGTCAACCGTACCATCTTTCGGGATATATTTCCGATAGTTATTATTATTATCATTATTGCCAGCCGTTCGTACTTTTTAGTATTTTATTTTTTAGGTTTTTGTTTAAGTTATAAACAACTAGATTATGTATAGAGGAAACAAAAGGTTTTACAATTGAAAAAAAAAATTGCTATGTTGAGATTTGTTGCCTAACTCAAGAGCTAGGTGAGGAAGCGTGGGGTGCTTGCCCCACTATGGCTACGCCGTAGGTTACCGTTATTGAGAACTGCATTATTTATTTGATAACATTATTTAAATGAACAATTTTTATTTTTATTTTTAAAGGGTACGGTATAGAATGTGCGGGTACCGTAGATTCAACTACTTATACCTTGGTATACCAACATAATAATACGACTTTTAGAAAAAAGGCTTTTAGACATGAAAAACTTTGAAAATCAATTTGAAATACATTAATTCAGAATCTTCGAAGGCTTTTTAAAAATATACTTCAAATATATTTTTATTGTCAGTGAAATATTATTTACTTTGCCTTACCACAATCTTTACTATGCCATTGATCTGTAAATAACATGCAGCAAATAACTAGAGAGATAAATAAAAATAATAATCGCTTTGATGGCTAGTCCTTCACATAAAAACTCAGTTAAATATAATTACTTGGCTATGCCATAAACTTATCAAGCAATCTCAATAACACTACAAGTAGCACCGCTACTGTAGGTAACAAAGATTGAATATACATACACAATCAACATTCTAAAAAACAAACAATAGAATAGAACGTTAAAAGCAATAAAAATTTAAACGAATTCATTACTAACATTGACCGATTTGAAAGTATCGATCGACTAATCGATGGAAAACAGCATGATTATCGAGAAACTAATACAGCCGATCATTTATAATTAAGAATAAGAAATTACCGGGTGGTGTACCAGGTGGTGGTTCCCACTGGATTGACAACGCTATTGGTGGACACCACTTCGAAAGTAACACGTCACTACAGACCATCGTGTACATGACACTGAATTCTTAAATCGATCATTTAGTCTATAGTAAGTGGGAAAGATACACGCTTCTGTAATTTTGGAAAAATGAAATCAAGATACTTGGTTGATTAATTATCTGGATAATTTTTTATTACTGCGGAGATCTAATTGAAAGAAGTCAAGGTAAAAATGCAAGTTTTTTAAAACAAGAAAAGTATTCAATTTTAACTAGATATTACATTTTACAACCACAACTTATATAATTGTTTATATATATAAATATATATAAACAATTTCTTGACTAAGTAATTTTTTAAATCAAACTTTTTATTTAAAAATTAATTAATATTTCATGTTAAATGTTTTTTTTCAGATGATGGGCAAAGTGAAGTCCCAGGGTCTGGTATCAGACTTGATGCCTAACATCAAGCTGATGCAGTTAGCTGGTCACTTTCTCTTTAACTACCATTCAGGTATTTTTCTTTAGTCATATTTACCATGAATATTTAGAAAATGCACACAAATAATAAGATTTAAATGTTTTCTTTTAAAAATGCAAAGCATCCAGTACCTCTGAGAGTATTTCAATCCATCTGTGTTGTAAAAAGTTATTATCAACATCGATAGATCTTATATAATATCCAGAATACCTGAATAATATACAGATCCAGACTGATTCCAGAGCACAATCATCTGTTTTCTGTCTGGGTATAATATATTTATTATATGTCTGAGTCTGATCACTAGGAGTGAATGAGTGAGAAGTCTGAATCATTTTTTTTTCTGTCGGGGTATAATATATTTATTATATATCTGAGTCTGATCAGTAGGAGTGAATGAGTGAGAAGTCTGAATCATTTTTTTTTCTGTCGGGGTATAATATATTTATTATATATCTGAGTCTGATCAGTAGGAGTGAATGAGTGAGAAGTCTGAATCATTTTTTTTTCTGTCGGGGTATAATATATTTATTATATATCTGAGTCTGATCAGTAGGAGTGAATGAGTGAGAAGTCTGAATCATTTTTTTTTCTGTCTGGGTATAATATATTTATTATATATCTGAGTCTGATCAGTAGGAGTGAATGAGTGAGAAGTCTGAATCATTTTTTTTTCTGTCGGGGTATAATATATTTATTATATATCTGTGTCTGATCAGTAGGAGTGAATGAGTGAGAAGTCTGAATCATTTTTTTTTCTGTGATAAGACAACTCCCGCACTAGGAACATATCCTTTACAAACATTCATGAAACGGACACAAAGTCGCCCAGACTCAAAACAACAAATACTGGATACCAGAAAGTGTGGTCACGTGTAGGAATCCCATAAAGCAACGCGCAGTGGGAAGCGGCGAGGTGCCTGCGTAAACCACATCCAGAAACCACATCCGTGCAGTTATTATTATTGTTACATACATTTTTGACTTAAAAAATGATAAAGATAAATTTATTTGTTTGAACAAAGTATAATTAGACTTTAAAATTGTTGGTTCATGGCAAAAAGTAGCTAAAATTGTGATTAAGTAATCCCGATTTACGAATTTGCAGAAAATGGTGGTATGGCAGTACTTTTACGTAAGGTCTACTCTAGTGTCCATGCCATTCTCATTGTCACGAATTTCGTGTGCATGGCCATCAATTTGGCTCAGTATTCCGGTGAAGTCAACGAGCTGACGGCAAACACCATTACCGTGTTATTCTTTACGCATACGATCATCAAGCTTGTCTTCTTTGCTTTGAATTCCAAGAACTTTTACAGGTAAGTAATTTCTCAATATTTCGTTGAATGCTTAGTGAAGAATTAACAAATGTATTAAAAAAGTGATGGGTAAATAAAGCTAAAAAAAACAAGAGAAGTGCGAGTCGGACTCGCCATCCAACGGTTCCGTACAAATTTGTAGGTACATGTAATAAATAGTTAAGGAATCGAGGCTCACAATGTTTATAGGGTTTTACCAAAATTCAGTTTCCAAAACCTATATTTACTCATATTATTGTGTTTTATAAGTGAAATAGTAACAGTTCATACCAAAATTAGTTAGGGAACCTAATCGAAGTTTTTTTTACTTAAATATCAAATTTATTTAGATATACATATAAACACATATATTTATCCAGATTTGTATGACGTACTTCAAATAAAAACTATGTTTTTTTTAATTAATTACAAAGGTATAGTTTTACAGACAGACGGGCAGGCAAACAGACAAGACAGTGATCCTTTAAGGGTTTCGTTTTTTTCCTTTTGAGGTACGAAACCCTTAAAACAGTTTTCATTACGAACGAAATTTAAAAGAGTTCTACTCCTTCTTAATCATAAGAATATTTTCTTTAAGCTCGATCTTCTGTGTGTGAATCATGTTAGCCCAAAACAGACAGGTTTACCGCGGCCACAGAATGAACCGTCTACTTTTTGGTTTCATTATCAGATCAGCTTCAAGATGCCAGTTTTAGTATTATCATACAAACTACATTCCACAATACAATACACAAATGTTAGTAAATTACAATTTAAACTAAAAGAAACGTTTTAAACTAGATGTTCTATTATATTCTTATATTACTAACGTAAATTTTTCCAAAAAATAAAAATCTGTTACTACTCTATTACCGCTTCATGGAGCTTTCAAAAGAACTTACGAAAAAGAGGTTTTTTAGATGTTAAATATATTATTCCTCCTGAAAGATAGACGAGAATAAATCATACTCGAGCTAGACTAATCTAATATAAGTTATAAGTTCTAATATCCTAATCCTGTTATTTGCCAAGCCTAATCCAAAACCTTTTCAGAAAATATGGTAATATATTATGTATCACTTAATTCTAAAGCGAGCACCTTTTACATTGATATTTATTTCAACACAGAACTGACGTAGTAATATTTAATAATTATATGAATTATAAAAACTTAAATGGAATTTCAGATATTAGATTATACACCGCCCAAACTAATTGGATAGGAATAATTGAGTTATATTTTTAGATTTATTTACTTTGAGCTTACTTGGCTTGGCTGATTTCGGATCCATTTCTTCGTCGAACTTCGTATTAGGCTTTAATTTCCACAATCTATATTAAAAGAAAAGAAAAGAAAATGTAAAATACGCACGATTTACACTTCATTCAATAGATTATTTACTCTAATCTTAAATTAGCTATTACCTAACGTGTAACTGTTAAATGTCCAATTTAAAAAAACACACTTATTACAGTTTAGTTGCAACTGTCCATGGGCGGCGGTAGTCACTTTACATCAGGTGAACCATTTGCTATTTTGCTCCTTGGAGTAGTTAACGTACCTTATTTAAGGTCTGTCGTGGTTTTTTGAATTTTAATTATTTGTTAAATTGTATTTGAATATTTTATTATTAAAACATTTGTCTGCTTCGAGTTCATGTCAACATACAGTAAAGTGAAATACTTTAATAAGTTTTTGAGAATGTTGGAGCAGATTCTTACATTAAATATTTCGTCAAATACATCACAAAGATAGAATATCTTGTGTGAATATTTGTGATTTGAAGGCAATTAATTAAATTCTCGTGTTGTTCTTGTTACTAGTCAGCCTAATTTAAATTTTTATTTATTCGAATGATTTTTCCGTATTTTAACCGTATTTTTATTTCAGTAATATTAACGATCAGATTTCAAAGATTTGTAATTTAATTGTCAATGAAGTGTTTTTTTCTCTTTTAATCATTCATTTCATGACAAAGTGTAAATCTAAGTTCTCGTGAAATTTCTGTGTGTTGACATTATTTATTTGATTTCTGAATTCATTTCATGTTTGTTTTAGTTTTCATTCGTTTTATTTAACAAAGTTTCTAGTTTATAATTTGTTATTTCTGTTTATTCTATTATTTATTCTATTGACCATAAATGTTAAAATCTGGGTTACCGGGAATATTAGCCCTGATTTCAGAAATAAACAATTTTATTTTAATAATAATGCTCAATTAATATAACGAGTTCCTCCAAGAATATCTATTATCGGGAATCCCCCGAAGCAACACATAATAAACATTTCTAATTAGATACCAACAGAGAGGTCTAGTATTTGTTTTGTTATGTATACAGAGAATAATGTAACGGACACAACAAACTTGGATAAAATAGAAATAGGAGTTAGCCAATCTGAATGTGAACAATTATTTTTAATTATTTTGTTTTGGATAATGTGATGGGCTACAAATGACATTGACTATTGGCCCATACTTTCAACAACTATGAATAGGCCGACCAGAGTTATGACCAAGGCTATGACTAAAATGAAAGAAATGTCTATGCCACATCAAAGGAATTTAAATCTCATGATTTTAATTCCTTTGATGTGGCATCCAAAGAACTGCTAAACTTTTATTCGCTCTATAAGCAAAAAAATCGACATATGATTTATGTCGATTTTTTTGCTTATATAATGGAACTTGGCTCCTTTTATTGCCTAATTATGATTGGTAAAATTGCATCTATTTTTTCCTGCAGTTTCAACTCTGCCTATTCTCATATATAGTTCACATAGCCTTAATTCCTTATAAATGAATACTGAACACTCTATTGTTTATTGGTCATTAATATGCAAAAAGATTTTTGTATGTACAAATCGTGCAAGAATGTGATATTTTGGAAGACTTAGAGTTTATGTATTTAAGAAGTACCTACATAAATCTAAAACTTTTAAACAGTACATGTTAATAATTTAGAAATGATGTATGATATTTAAGACTTTTAATAACAGTTCAAGTTGTAGTAGAAATAGAAATAGACTGTCAGTGAACCTCATCAGATCATTGTGTTTTATTCAAGTATTAAGTAATAAGAGAATATGTCAGTGGATGTATTATATTTGAAAACAGAATATCAAAATACAGTCGTATAGGTATCTCGAGCTTGGGTTGTTTGAAGTGCTAGATACACTCCGCCTTAACGATTTCTCGCACTTACTCGTACATTGTAAATAAACTTACAAAGTGCTACACGACTGTACATATATTATGATAGTTGTTAATAACTTTGACCTCCACGTTTGAAAGTGTTGTATTATTTTAAATGTATGTTAAAATATTTTCAGACCAACCTTTTTAAATGTTGCTCACTTATAATGTATTACCAAAGAGTAATAATATGTTTGGAGCGTTAAATACTTTCTTGTTCTTGTAGTTAATATTACTATATTTTAACTACTAGGGCTTTATACAAACAGATACTTGACGAAAACTGTATACGACGGACTGTAATTAGTATAAATCAGCAGAAGATTCCTTTTAATTTTCCGTTCTGAAAATGCCATTTGATGCGAAATGTACACCACCTTAACCAAATTCAATCAATACTCATGACAATTTCAATGATTTTGTTTTTTTTTTTATACGGACAGTGTAGGGGAAAGTCCATGTTTTTTTTTATTTTTTAATCCATATTCATATTCTTCAAATCTTTCTTTCAAACAGTATATTATATAAACATACCTTTTAAGGATAACGCCAGGTTCTAATGAAGTTTGTCAAGGAATCGGGAGGTTTTTATTGCTTACTAGCGTGCAAAGCGTGACAGGGTACAGCCCTGTCACGCTTTGCTGTGGTATATTGTGGTTGCATTGATGAGAAATGAGGAAAAAACTGACACGAAAAATAGGTAAAAACCATCTTTGCAGCGGGTTGCTTATCGTGTCAAAATTTGAGTGCCCTTGGAGCAGAACTTTTTTAATTTTGGAAACGTACACAAACCGACTTAACATTTTCATATATATAGATTAAATGAGTTAACGATGATGTTGATTATGTTTAGCCTTCTTATGGAGAAGTACAAAATTACTTAAATATTTTATACCTACATTCTTATGTTTTCCTAGAACTTTGGCCATATGGAATCAGTCGAACAGCCACCCATTATTCACGGAGTCTGATGCTCGATACCACCAGATAGCGCTCACTAAGAGTAGGAAACTTCTATACTTTATCTGCGGAATGACTGTGCTATCGGTCATTTGTAAGTAAAAATATGTTTTATTGTTGATTTTATCAAGAATATTACTTTGTTTTGTTTCTCTCTGTCTAACTCTAACTCCCTCTCTAATTTAAGTAGCTAGCCGTACATCAAGGCTAATATAATTCCCTCAAAATGCCAGACCCTTCTGGTTTGTATTAGATTAGAATAATGATGAAGCTTAACAAACAGTTGATCAGACGCAATATGTCTGTAAGCTGTGGTGATGTATACAGTATTGTGGTGGTGTAGGTAGACGTACACCGCGGTCCACGATCAGTGACGTTGATATATCAAGGCAAGGATAATACATCTTAGGCCTTCTTAGTAACTGGGAAAACAGAGGGTTATTGTTTAATATTGTAATAATTCAATTTATCGCTGTAAGTAATCAGTGTGTAGCGGGGTAATAGTTAGGTTTTAATTAAAACGGCAAATTAACGAGAAATTACTTTTGTACTGTGCTTTCGATGCCAAGGGGAATACCCACCACCCACAGACACTTCGGCCCGAGGTGCACACATTTAAAAGCAAATAAATAAAGCATAAATAAAGAGTATATAAGCTAGCTAGCTAGCACGAATAAGCTAACTCGATACACGACGAAGCTGCAACTTAATGCAAATTCGTATATCGTGATTAATTAGTAGAGGCTTTTCGAACACACTGTTTGAACATTTTCGTTTTGCTAAATATTATTGTGATCATAAGGCCTAAAAAGGTAAAATGATTATCTACAGGATAAACACATACATCCCAAGCATGTTTTAAACTTAATTTAAGATTTATTACAATCAGAAGGCTTTAGTGATTTTATGTGCATACTCATAAGTCTAGACTTTATGAAATACCTAAAATTTTGATTTGTAACCTTATGGGATAACCTCACGGGGAATTTCAAGTACATAGAGTGCATCTATAAAATATCAGCCGTTATTCTGCTGATAAAAGATCCTATATCTTTACTGCTTAAGTGTTATTGTCTTACGAAAAATCCAATATTATAATAAATTTAAATAATTAATATCGTAAAAAAGTACCTAAGTGCAAAAAAGTATAGTTCCAAGTTAGTTTTCCACTATTCAGCCAATAAAACACAGATTTTTAATCGTGTCTCTCAACTTTGTACAGAGCGTTGCTCTTGCATTTTTGAGGGATTCGTTCATCTTAGGTAATTGCTTCTCGAAGCATTGCATTGCATTCCAGTGCTTCAATAGAGCAGGGATATTACAAAAAGTCACAAAAATAAAAGCACAAAGTGATATTATGTACTGTAGAGTAGAGTATGCTAGTTCCAATTTTCAGTAGAGAGTGTTATTAATTTTCCTTCTCTTATACAGGCTGGATTGTTCTAACATTTTTCGGAGAGTCTGTTCGTGTTATAACCAATAAGGAAACCAACGATACCTTGACTGAACCAGTTCCAAGGTTGCCCCTGAAGGCCTGGTATCCTTTTAACGCCATGGGAGGTTCTATGTATATTATTGCCTTCGCTTATCAGGTGAGAATGATATCGTGTGTAATTATATAAAAGTGTGTTTTGTTTTATTTTAAATTACTGATTTTTTATATTGTGTTTATTTTAAAGTTAGTTGCTTTAAATTTGAATGTTTTGCTGTTTGAGTACCTAACATTAGATAAACTTACGGAATCTATTTTATGTTATTTAATTGTTTGCATATAAAGTTTTCGAAGCGCTTTTAAATCATAGTCAAGTTTAAGTTTAATCTTAAAGTTTCCTTTGTTGGAGTATTTTTTTTACAAATATTTAGCTCTTTACATTTTTGGTGTTTCAGATTATACCTTATGATTCAGAAACATGACTCTTTACAGGAAGAATAGAATACAATGATACTTGAGTGTGTCGTCAATTTTGTACCTATTTGTTTATTTATAGAAAGTTTTTTTAGCGGTTTGTTTGCGGTTAATTACTATAAGTCGTTTCACCCACGGACTCTTTTTAAATTGTCAATAAATCTAATAGATTAATCTTCTACTAACCTACTAATATGATACCTACAAGAAAACGTGTAAGTAAGATCAAGATAAGTGAAAAAAGTTGCTATATGATTACGACGAATAAATAAACTATTATATTAGTACTTGGGGTATTCAATGTTTTGAATTTTATGAAAATTTGAATTGTATTAATCAGATCGAAAGACATGATTTTGATTGAGGGTTTCTCTTGGTTACAGCATTATTGTTATTAAAATAGATTAAAAAATAAATTTTATGCGAATGTTAAAGTACATTGACAATAAAAATGCGTAAAGAAATCAGTCGATCAACCGTAAAACAACGTGTTTATGTCGAAACTTAAGTAGAAGCTTGTTGAGTTCCAGAAAAGGGTTTCCCTGACAACGTAGCGTGACCAGAGCTAATTTTGAGTACACAAAATGGCGTGGGTCTTGTAAATTGAGTGTTTATGTTATTACTTCTTGCCTAGAAAAGGCTAAATTGACTGTTTATGTGACAGTTCTGTACTTAGATTCGATACGATTTAGGATGATGCAATGTGGAAATAGATATTGAGTAATATTATATTATGGTGATGTAAAAACCGTGTTTATGAAAAAATAGTTTATTTTTATACTACATTGGTTTATTTATTCGCATACATATTTCGGTTTGCTAAATTAGCACATGAATAATGACCAAAGTTTCACTTGTGCATTAACGATACTTACCTCTTTTGTCCATCGAGCCCATAATTTTATTCAGTAATAACACAATGAGTCCTGTTCTGTCAAACGGTTTTCTTTAGGGTAAAGATTTGCTCTGTAAACGTATATATATAGATTGGTCTTTATATGTTTAGGTCAGATCACAATGATGATCGAAGGCCTTCCCTAAGGAGCGCACACTATCCTGGTCTTGGGCAGTCCGTATCCATCTGCTGTCAGTCATTTTTTTAAATGCTTAATAATAATATGTTATTGTTATTAATTACCACTATTTTACATACTCTAGAAATCTTTTCTTTGAGAAAGCAATAACACAAACATAAAGTAAACATCTCCCGAACGTACCACTGTGCTATGCTACAAAATACTCTCATAGGAAAAGAATTGTGATATTGCAACTATTTTTGTCATCCCAAAGCAGTACACAACATCTGTAATTTAGACGCTTGTGTATCTCTTAGAGAGGGATTCAAAGAAAACGGAGAATTCAAACAGGTGTTTCTTAGTATAGTATTCATAAACGCTGTGTAAGCTAAAAATAATCTTTAGCTTTTTATTAAAATAGTTACTTCTATCTAACAAAATTCAAGGATTGTACAGGCAGATGTACATGTTCTGGGGATTGGGTATTTGTTTTATAATAATGTTTATATTATTGTCGTTGGTCTACTACCAAGTACGTACAAAGTTATTTATTGTACATTAGCAAAGTACATTACAAAGTATATTACAAAGTACATTACATTAGTACATTAACAAAGTTATTTATTGAAAAAGAAAAACAAATCTCGACTGCGTTTTCATTTACCTGTTTAGTGTCACTCTCACAATTAAGGCAAATCTAACGACACTTCCCAAGCCAAGATTCATTAAGCCGTTTAGACTGTAGGTGTGCCAAAGAAACATACAGACATATAGGCGGGTAAAAAACTTAAAAACTATCTTACACATAGGGACTAACATGTAATTGATCATAAAATAAACTAGTTTTGAACTAGTTTGTAGCACCATTAAATTATTTCGTTTCTTAAAAATTTCATGTTCTTTTTATTATTAGACTTATAAAAGCATGTCTCAGTCGAAGCCCACAGCGATATTTCTTCGCAATTTTTTTTTTTTTTGCAAAATTCTGTAGTACATGGGATGTACAGAGGACTATCTCGCACTGGCGAAAAAATCTGTGAATTAATGCAAATTATTCGTTAGTCTCCATTCATTTCCACGCGAATAAAAACCTCACGATGAGATATCGCTGTGCGGACGGGTTCATACTAGTACCACAGCAGTACCAGGTTTTGGTGTATTGGTAGGATAACTACCTTCTGTCAAGGCAAGGCAGGAATTAGCTGATTTTTATTCTCATCGACATAGAGTCCATATTCCATATTACGAAGAGCCGTACACACCTCAGTGAGCTCTAACTAACGTGAGAAATTTTGTGACGCTATTCTGTAAAAGGAATCGTTAAGTAATTCAACTAATCTAGGAATATGGCACTTATATACCTTGAACTTAGAAAATCTGTCAAAAAGCTGCCGTAAAATCTTAATGGTTCATTTCTTTTTATCAGGTATACTGGCTTTTCTTCTCAATGATACTCGCAAATCTAATGGACGTGATGTTTTGTTCTTGGCTGATCTTTGCGTGTGAGCAGTTACAGCATCTGAAGGCGATTATGAAACCTCTCATGGAACTTAGTGCTTCTTTGGACACGTACAGACCCAATACTGCTGAACTGTTTCGGGCTTCATCCACGGGTAACTTTAAAGTCTATAATACTTTATGTTCTGAAACATTTAAAAAGGCAGAACCAACTAAAATATTTTTTTTTTCATATTATTCGATATTCCATTACTTAAATAAATTTAATGCATACTAATAGAATAATATTTAAAAAGTCGTTCCTCGTCAGTAGAGTCTTTTCCTTTTAAATCCTTTAAAAATGGATATTTATATAAAAATTGGTGTATTAATCAATATTTGAACGTATCGTAGACAAGATAATTGAAAATTAATAATCATGAAATTGATTTCACTTCAATGATAGTACAACAATTGAAGTCACTCTATTCCTCTCTTATTCGTCAGTCTTATAATTTTAAATTTGGTTTTTCCTACAATGCTCACCCGGAGTATTAACTGTTGGATCCGCCACAAAATACGGATATTTTTCAATAAATTTGCTCACTAAAACATTTGTAAACTAAAGATTGCTACTTTATCTTCTAAAACATTTCATGATAAATAATAATAATTGTAATGTAAACAGAGAAATCAGAAAAAGCTCCTGACTCCATTGATATGGATATTAGGGGAATATATTCTACGCAACAAGACTTCGGCATGACACTTCGTGGTGCTGGTGGTAGACTGCAGAACTTTAATTCAACAAATAATCCTAATGGGTTAACGGCAAAGCAAGAGATGCTTGCCAGGTCAGCAATCAAATATTGGGTTGAACGTCACAAACACGTTGTAAGGTGAGATATAAAGATTCTTTATGCAAAATTTTCCTCACTAAATGGAGTCCGCTTTCTCCAATAACTTTAACTTAACGGAAACCCTGTAAACTCTGGGTCGGCAGTATAGGAGAGTTGCTCCTGATAATTATTACAAGCCTGACCGGGAGTCATAAAGGGATTGACGATGTACACTATCAAACAAGTGTATCCACTATCGAAGATGAGGACGTTAAAACAGTTTTCAGTTTCTGTTAGAGAAATGTATGTTCAGCACTAATAGGACTAATAACAATCATTACTGACTTGTGATTGGTTGTGATTAAATCGGTCCGAAGAAAGTTTCAGAAGTTACTTTCGTACCAATATGATATTCTTTGACATCATCTTTGGTTTATTCATGTATAATTACTAATAATAAAAGTTAATATAAAACAATAGCAGACAAGTACGTGTAAACATTGTTGATATTGTATGTGTGCACACAATTTTCATAATAAACTCTACATTGGCCGTCAACAAGGACAAAGACGATTATTTCATTAATCATGTGAGAACAATACATGTGCGTCGGTTAAAATCGATAATACAAAGGTATACTTTATGATATAGTAATGTTAAGGTCATTGTAGTGATGACACGACACTAGCCGACACTATTCATGTGCTTTTGCAAGCAGGCGCTAGGAGAAGTCCGGATGTTTTAATAACAACTGTTCCTGGTCTCCTCCAATTTAGGCGCTGTATAAAATGTTGTGTGGAGGTTTGATGGGCCCGATCCCGACACACCACCACGCAGAAACCATGATGGAGTTTCAAATAAAATGAAAAGGAATAAGACAATTTAAGTTTCTAAACTCTGACGAGAATTTTCAGATTGAATGGTATACTCAGATGTGAATGAGTATAATCGGTTCAAGTGTAAACCTGACAGTATAGCCATTTGAGTAATACACTTATTTATAACCATTCAATAAAGAACATGTTATGCATTATTGTCAACTTCATCCTGTTCATATCTTCTAATATGAAGTTATAACCAGGACTTCAAGCCAGTCCACAATCAGGTCCTAAAGGTTCTTTACTGAAAATCAAACCCAACGCCCAAATAACACGCACCGGAGTGTTTAAGCGCTTTTGTTCTTATTACGTTCCTGTGCAATCAGACTAGACATGAATAGAAAAACTCAAATCTTATCTATGTTGATGTTAATCGAAACTATTCGCTTAATAATAAATTTATATAACCAAGAATCAAACAGTACTGGGGTTATTTGAATTATTATAAGGCCGTTTAATTGTTAATTACAGTTGATTTAAAGCGTCTCGAAATCTTAAACCATTTACTAATCCTACAAATATCTATAGCTCCTTGTAATTTCCTTTCAAGTTTAGAAACTGTAAACTTCAGAGAGCTGTAGTGTCCATTGTTAATCGAATACACGCCATACTACTAACTTAAATATCCTCTGGCCACCACCGAAGCAACAACTATCTTGAAAGACCTATAATATGTGATCCCAAGCCTTTCTAGCTCTTTACATTGCAAAAGTTTGAGAAATCAAGTTAGGATTTGGGTTAAAAGGAAGTTTGCAATATTTGTGATTTTAATATTATTTCATCATAATGTATTCTAATGAGTAAACCTATGTGAGTATGATTATCATAAGTATGAGCGTAAATTTCTTGAAATAACTTTTGTCCGCGGCTTCGCCTGCGTGTATGTCGGTTATAATGTATGCGTGTATGTACCAATTTTATGGCTTATTCAATGTGTAGATTCGTACTAACTAACAGTATTTCTGTTAATCGAATAATGTCCGACTGACTGACAGACTAGATTTGCAATCAATGTGGTTATTAGCCTATGTTACTTACTGATATTGTAGCTTTCCATTGGTGGAATAACTTTTAAATTACAAACTAAAATAGAAACAAACAAAACCACTTTCATATTTATAATATAATTATGGAAGTATGGATATACAAATTAGAAGACAGCAGTAAACAGTACTAACAGTACAGTAAAATTAGAAATATTATTATAATAAAATAATAATAATATTTCTAATTTTAGTTAATTTAGATTTATCTGTAATATCACAATTATTACGGCATTTAAAGTTGGAAGGCAGAAAAAAAATCGCAAGGTTATACTGATACGTTTCGAAAAAAAAGACAAATGATAATAAACAAAACAAAAATAGTTTTTTGAATATTTTGTGTAACAAACGATTACAGAATATCGTGGCTTTATTTCTATCATTGGCATGCATGACTATGTCAATTCGCATTATTGTCGATGTGTTCATATTAAATATTAATGTGTTTACTTGAAAAATACCTTGAAACTAATATGTTCATCCGAGTCCTATATGCGTCCGAGTCCATAGTACAAACTTTGCTTAGGGTTATAGACAGAAGTAAGTTTTGGAACGAAGTTCCTTATCGCGCGTTGTTAGACGGAAAAAATTCTCACGAAAAGTTGTAACGACACTTTTTATTTTGAATTGTCACTTGTCAGTCATTCAGCGCCATCTATCGAATAGATAGGAAATCATTACTTTTCATCTCAGTAAAATTAAAATTTATGTTCTTAGGTTGAGCAAAAAATATTGTATTCGACATCATTTCTCAAGGAGATTTTACCAATGTATAAATTGTTTTAATTAGAAACCAACTGAAAAATATGTAGGTAATAGCCGCTTTCATAGATGGCGTTGTAATTAAAATTTTGTCGAATCAGTATTACTCGATCTTCACAACTTCGTTCCTATCGAGTGTCCCACGACACCACACGGCTTTTTTTTAATTTGCTTTAAAATTATCCATATTTCCATACTTATATTATCAATGTAAAAGTGAGTTTATTTGTTTCGCTTTTACGCCTGGATCACTAAACCGATTTTTAAAAAAATCATTCACCAATGGAAAGCTACATTATCAGCAAGTAACACAGGCTAATAACCGCGATAACCAACATACACGTGAACAAGGAAAAGTCAGTATTAAATAAATTTTACTATCACGGATACCGAGACCAATTACGAAAAAATATATTATTTGCCAGTGTAGTAGTTTATCGTAAGTGTTATCATGTGAAATGATTGCAAAGCCAGACATTTAATATATTGGATAACATTTGAAATCACAGTTGCTGTTACAGTCTGACATTATTCGATTACCAGAAATACTGTAGCAATTATTGCTTTGAATTTCGAACAACTAGAGAAGTACGACCCTGCTTCCTTCCTCTGTGCCTTTTTCCCAAACTAGTTTGGGGTCGGCATTAAGTCTATTACGATACAGCTGAACTTCCTAATGAAGAGAACAGAAGGACGACCTAAATTACTGATATAAATTACGTCTTTATGTTGGGGAGGTTAAAAAATAACTCAACACCCATTACATAATTTTACCATTTATTTTTTACAGGCTCGTAGGATCGATCGGTGACACGTATGGAACTGCCCTACTGTTTCATATGTTGATATCAACGATCACACTCACTCTTCTGGCATATCAAGCGACGAAGGAAAGTATTTTTTTTAACACGCGTTTATTAGCTTGGGATGTATGTAACGGAATCTTCGAAGGTGATTTTGACCCACTTCAAAACGTCAAATTAAATTGAAACATCGCACACTTATCAAGGACCAATAACATTACAATAATTTGATAAATTTGGTCGAATATCGTGATCAGGATCTTCAGGATTAACAGCTTTTTCCATACCTAAAAATACGGTAGTTTCTTTTGCAACGCACTAAGAAGCACGTATGACTTACTTACTTGTTACTTTTGTTTTGTTAATGAGAAAATAATTATCATTAATGACTAAAAACGAGCGACGCGTAATAATAATAATATAATATATATAATTTTGTATTAAAATAATGGATTGTAATACACAACCACATAACCATAATGTAGATAATTGACAACAATATCGGTTTTCTTGTTTAAATACAATTCAAGTCCATTTTATTTCCTACAGAAAAAAACATTCATCCTATAGTACTAAAAAGGTGAATATGAGTTTTTTTTGTTGCAACTATGAGTACTACACCAATCATCTTGAGATTTTAAATCCCCCTTACTTTAACATGAAAAAAAGTAAGTTCTGGAGGGACACCTGAGTTGATAGACAATATTTATAATAAAACGAACGCCCTTGTGGGTAGAAGGATGTTAAGTAAATGATAATAAGTAAAAATATTTCAGTAAGGTAAAGTCTAGTCGACCACGAAATGGTCGATCGATTTCAGAAAGCTATTTCAATATCGTAATTTAGTCTCAGCTACGGTCATATACAAAGTAAAATTACTGTTTACATTTATTGAAAAACCCTATTTATTTATTAAGGATTATTAAGGATATAAACTTCTAAAATATTTTATGATGAGATAAATTCTGTTAACTCTACAATAAATGAGTTCTAATAAACAACACATTACACAATATAAATATTTTTTGTAGTATTTAGATTTAGCATTTTACATGCGAGGAACTGAAGATCTAAAATGAATCATAATCATAATGAATCATATTTACGATACTGAAAAGGCTGTCTTCTAGGTCTCTTAGCCTCTATTTCTGCCCTTCTGCAACAAAATATATATTACGTTGAGTGTGCGTCCTAGTAACATCTAGTATATCTCTTTTCAAAGTGTCCTGTTACCTCAAAAACGGCGTCCCTGCTTGTCAATAAGACCTTTCTTTTTGTTTTTTATTTTTATTTACGGGGTGGAAAATCCCTTCGGATCTCCGGCTCCTCGGGGACGCACGAGCCAGAGTATCTGTTGTTTCCACCTAAAATCACCCCGACAGCCGGTCTCAGGCGCCCTACTCTGGGGAGGACCCGGACCATGTTATTTCAGGCCCCCCCGATCGACGCCGCGCCTAACCAAGCCCTTTTCCGGGGAAAGCAGGCTTGTATCAAACGTAATACAACAAGCATTGGTCTTAGTCATTTTATTATTTCCCCACTTTCCCGTTACCCTGGTGCAGTGTATAGTCCCCATACATTAAAATAGTATATTGGTTTCAAAAATTTTTAAAAAAAATAATCTTATTTCAGATTAATGCTATAAATGTGTACGCATTTAGTACCATAGGCTACCTGAGTTACACTCTTGGACAAGTGTTTCACTTCTGCATCTTTGGAAACAGGCTTATTGAGGAGGTCAGTGTTCTGTAATATTAAACTATCAAGCACCCTTATACTTACCTAATAATAATAACCTCACGAGTTTCACACACAGTCGTTTGATCTTAAAATAGACGGAGCCACACAACAGATTATATATTTCTAATTACAAACATATTAATTAGAAATTACACCCAGATACAGAACAAATAATTGTGCTCCTCACACAATATTTGTTCTGGGTGAGAATCGAATCCACGACCTCTAGCTTAGTAGTCAGGTTCACTAACCACTAGACCATCAGGCCCGTCAAAAGAAAGAAGAAGAAGCTTTAATTTACCCTTGAAACTTTAACTACATTTGTTTTTCTTTCTTGAACACTGGTTTACTTGACTAAAGGTATATTTATAATCCAGAGTTCATCAGTAATGGAAGCCGCTTACTCCTGCCAGTGGTACGACGGTTCTGAGGAAGCTAAGACATTCGTCCAAATTGTCTGTCAGCAATGTCAGAAAGCAATGAGCATTTCTGGTGCAAAATTCTTCACTGTCTCTCTTGATCTATTTGCTTCGGTAAGTGTAATATTGACCTGACTGACTGGTTCATCAACGCAGAGTCTAAACCGCCTACAAACTTAAAATTTTGGCAGCTGATGCTTTTTATGTAAGAACTAAGGAATTTTCATCCCCAAGGTGTCGAATAAGATTGAACGTTTGTATGTAAATTTGTCATTTTTTGAATTTCAAAGTTGGAATCACGAAATAGGAAATAATCGCACGAGAGCAAAGGGGTGGGCAATAGTTAGTATATAATAAAATATGATCATAATTCATACTAATGATATGCGCAAATTTACATAATTAACATACAAACCTTTGCCAGGCTTGCATTATTAGGAGCATATATTAATGAAATTTGGGACATCTGACACACAACGCTAGCTAGTTTCAAATCATAACGATAGAATCATAGCGTGGAAACATTTAAGTTTCATTCTTTCTTAGATACTCTTAGTTAGGTAATTGACTTAGTGAAGTCTTTCAAAAAACTTGGCCAAGCAAGCCAAGGCTAACTTATAAGTTTAATCTTCTCTCATAATGCAAGAATGCCGATAACAGCAAAAGGACCAATTTAATCTTTAAAATTCATCCAGCCTCACGAAATCCAATCAGATGGATCGACAACCTCGTTATGATGATAACTTGAATTACGCAATAAATTACTACGGAAAGGTGTCGCAAAACAAAGCCATGATACTCAATTTTGCAAATTGGCCTCCCGCCCTCGAAAATATAACCAAATTTTCAAGGGGTAGATCCCATTCAGACCCGATGAGGAAAATCATTACAACAAAATATTTTATTATAAATACGTGTAGGCTTAGTGTGGTGAACGTGGCTGACAAATTTATTTGTTAAAAAGTTGTCTTTATGTCCTAATTTTCGTGGATTTTGCTAGCTTTTACTGGTCTCGGTACCATAATTACCACCAAAACACATAAAATGTATTTTAAACATACCTACATATTTGAAGACAGCTAGAAGAAAAACACTATTGTGGTACGAAGTGTAATGTCAGTCGGTTCGAGTCCGACTTAGCCACCGGTGGGTGGTATCCGAGGGGATTTCCGCACAAAAAAAGGGTAAGTAGTTTTTATCCCAGAAATTAAAGTTCGAAAAGGGGGGTGGAAGTTTGTATGGGGAATCAATAACCGTTAAACCGATTGAGATGAAATTTGGTAAGGAGATACTTTGATTCATTGAAGAAAGATATAGACATTTTTAAAGCTATAACCGACATTTACGCGGGCGGAGCCGCTGGCAAAAGCTAGTGTTAAATAATTGATTACTGATTTCAGGTACTGGGTGCTGTAGTAACCTATTTCATGGTGTTGGTGCAACTGAAGTAAAATCAGAAAACTGGATACAGAACTTCTGTTGATTCTAATATTCTATATTTGTATTTATAATATAATAAAAGTACAACTTTAATTATAAAACCTGCTAGCTTAGCTAGTAGTAAAGCGTTAGTAATTCCATACTATTCTCATATATGATATGTTTTTTTTTCTAATTTAAGGTAAAGTAACGAAAACGTAGTTCCCTTTTAGTATTTAATGTAAAAATGTATTGTTGCACCACTTACTATTTTAATACCATTTATTTATTTTATTTATTTATACATCTTTATTGTACACCGCAACAGCATATATTGTACAGACATCAATGAACATCTATATTTTGGCATTACAGTAGGCGGTCTTATCGCTCACGGCGATCTCTTACAGACAACCTTTACACGGATATTGTTTAATCTGATTTAGGATAGTCTATGGTGTACTTTATAATAATTTAGATAATGAATATTTATAAAAATAAACATACTAAATACGCATACAATATACATACTACTAACATATATAAATCTATATAAAAATAAATACATACAAAGGTTTTAAAGGTTAATACACAAATCGTTCTTAACCTGTGACGTACTAAGTTTTAACAAACAATCAATATCTCTTCAACAGCCCTTACAATATCAAGTAGTAATTTGTGACTTGTTTTTTGAATAATTGCAACAATTTAGTATTTCGGATTGGCTCGGGTAAGTTATTTAACAGTCTAACTGCCTGCACCGAGAACGATTTGTCACTAAATTAAGAATATACTTTCTTGAACAGTCAAAACACCAACACGCGACAACCAGTTACGAATTTGTGTATGTTATGGTCCATTACTAATCTAATTCTAGTATTGTGATACATGATATTTATCTCGGTAAGTAAATCTTTTCAGATATTTTTACAAGTCAGACTTTACAGCTAGATAGAGCCGGCTATTATCTAGCATGTCATTAGCCGCCTGTATTGGCTTCTTCTATCTGCTCCTAATATTGTACAATCTGATTCTCCGATAATCTCTCTAACTTGGTGAAAAGCATCAATACAATTGCTTCACACTGATTTCTTGAGAGGTTCTGGTTTTGCTCTTGTCGACCTAGCCAGCATAATACATAAGCCGAAGCATGGCTTTTTTATGGCCATAAAGTGACGGTGTGATGATGAAGCCAGGAGGTGAATAATGGAACCCTTTTTTTTTTTTTTTTAATTTAACTATAATTATTTTCATAAGCGTTACAGTACTCAGTTCTAAGGCATTCAAAGAAATTATGTATTTCAGAGAATTTCATGGTTTTATGACAATCATATAAGCACGTATTTTGTCTAACTTACATATAATTATAATCATTTTAAAGGTCTTATTATAGATTTTTTTAGATATTTAATAATAATGTTGTAATAGTGTTAAAATATCAATATATTTTTCTTAATAGACTGTCAAACAGCCCACCTACAGAAAAAAAATGTTTTATAGTTTATTTATCCAAGTTATTAATGCTATGTTTAAATTATTTTTACTTTTAATTTGTATTATATTTGTTGTTTATAAATATACTATTTTTAAAAAGAAAATTTTAATTATTCTATTCTACAAGACGTGGGGGTCACCATGGGGATTTTAAAGATCTGCTTACTAAGGATTTGATCCAATAAAAAAGCAAAAACCTCGAAAAACTCCTTGTTGTAGGAAAACTGCAGGGAAAAGCAAGGCCAAAACCTTGGAAACAAAAAAAATCCGCATCTTCACTACTGAGGATCGGAATGTATGGAAACCGATCCTCCAAGGGATAATTTATGGGCGAAATCTACAGTAGTTAGGGCAATAGCATCATAATTATTGTAATAAATTATATTCTTCATGCCTTTATCTTCCATTTTATATGTGGAATATTTTCTTCAAATTTAAATTTATTTATTTAAACGAAAGAAATATGCAATAGAGTTTTGCTTAAATTAAAAGCATGTCCAGTTGAGCAAAAGAAAAACAATAAAATAAATGAACTAGGCAACACATCTCGCGGGTCCAGCTTAGTGCGGGTGACTAAACAGCCGGTTCACCAATGTATAAGATATCGCGTGACAGACACCGCAAGAAAATAATCAGTCGATTTTCAAATCTCCTCCTTTAAGAAGTCGGTAAAAAAATTGTCTTGACTCCTGCACGAAAAAGAAATTATAGCAGTGAGACTGCGAAGAAAAGAGAAATAGACGAAAAACTCTGGTGCTGATTTAACATGCTGCTATTTGATATTTAATGACAAATACCCTTAATACTTCACCTTTCCTTTATTAATAAGGTACCTTCATTATGTCTCCGTTACATTCTTAAATAATAACCAGCCACTATTACAAAACATATTGAATTGAAAATTACTATCAAAGGGATTTATTTAAATGTTAAAAAATTCAATGAGTTGGTTTCAATCCGTTTTATTACTATTTTACAATTTGCCGCAAGCACCTTTTAACAAGCCCTTTGATATACTTTTTATTAATTTGACCTCAATTCTTCTTCCAGGAATTCTTTGTTACTGTAACACAATTTCGCCTTTCCATTTTCGTTCCCTTGTTAGAGGTTTAAAAAGAAAAGATACATTCAAAATGACACTAATATTAAATATTGTACGGGTATCATTGCAAAAAGAAATAGGGATTCTAAGGTTTAAGGTATTAGTGTCCTTCTTAGAAACCCTACATAAATTATGGCTTGTGCTAGAGTTTAGAGAATCCATGTAATATACATGGATTCTCTTTGAAGATTCTCAGAGGTTTGGAGATCACCAGGCAGTTGAAATTCGACAGTTTTGAATTGTCTTGTTTAACCATGCAAGAAGCCGAAATTTGACATAGGTGGCGTGCAATGGGAGAGGCCTATGTCCAGCAGTGGACTGCGATATCTACTATTACCGTCATTGTATAGACATTTATACTACGACAGGTTAAAATAATAAACTGGTTTTCTTTCTATGTAGCCTTTTCAACTTTAAATCACATATTGTCTAAATTTTTTGCTTTCTGCACTTCTTTCTTCTTTCACTCTAAACATAAAGTATTCCAAATGTGATATGTTTCCGTCTGTCGTGTTTGTTTAATAAAAGGTACAAAAATTTTCATCACGTGTTAATATATAGATCAGGTAATACAAAATTTGCGACGACGCGAATAAATAAATTGTTATAATAATGATATATGATGAATATGAATTTACATGATATTCGATCATTTCGTGTATATTTATATTTCTGTATATATTCAGTTGTATATTCTATTTCTGTATATTTTCTTAAATTTACCGACTTTCTCATGTTCTCTCCTCTCTTCACTCTTTAACGAAGATACTCGTAACTTTTGAAGATAACCCAATTATGGGTTTAGCTCGCCTCTGTGCCCAATTAATGTATTTTTTTTATAAATGTTTATATTGTGTACTTAAGAATAAAAATAAATAAAATTAATTTGAAATGAACTCGGCCTCGGCCCTTTTGGGCCTCTGCATTACAATATTTACAAGCGCCTGCAGCGCGTTTGTATCGCCGTATCAGTGCGTATCGACACAAATGCCCGTTTACGGCACCACTCATGCTCTTCATCTGCGCGCCATCGTTAAAATTATGCCGTGTGAAAAGGCTCTTAAACAGCCTTTCATAGCCCAATGACAAAACTAAAACTTTACTGACCTATAGTTGTTCCATTATGAATTATCTTAAGTAATGTTAGCATAATTATAGATAAAAACTTAATTTCGTCAGTAACAAATACGAATTTCAAAACACCGATTTTTATAGTTTTGAATAATTCAAAATTCCTAATATAACAACTCCAATTGATCATCCATCCTATTTTTACAGGTAATTTAAAATTTCAATATGCCACACGTTTATAATTACTATGCTCAAAATACAGAGTTTCAATAGATCGAATAACAAAAAGTCCGACTTAATGACAATTCGAAACATCAAAGATTCGAATTATTTCTTTAGTCTTTCAAATAAAAATATTTTCACAGTTCTAACCTTACCCAAATGATTCACCAAGAATAGAGAGTATCTGGCGCTCGGCGGCTGCTGCCGCGGGACGCTTGCTCGCTTTTTTTTAAGTTAGCGGGGGCAGACGAGCAAATGGGTCACCTCATGGAAAGTGACCGCTTTCGCGCTGTAATGATCTCAGTTCTAACCTAACTGATTCATCAACAACAGAAGGGATTTGATGTTAATCGCCACTGTTCTCAGCTATCCTAGCCCAAAGAATAACAGTAGATGGTACCTGACCCAGTCTATAAAACATAAAAAAATATTAATACACAAATATTAATAACAAAGATAGGCGATGATGCGGAGGAATTTTTTGATGCTTGTATGTAGATAGTGTAAATGTTGTAAATATTCTAACTTAATTTTAATTAATTTTTATTCTTAATTTCATTTTTATTTTTGTACTAGATACTAGAATTTCCTCCCTTATATTTCACTTTCTTGCACCTTTTATTAGCTTTATAAATTGTTGTTGTTATATTTAAGTGATCTTATTAGAAATAAATAAATAACAAAGTAGACGTTCTTAAATTACATTATACGTCACTAATAGCTTCTGAATAAAAATGCGTAACTGAATCAAAATCCTAATTTGAGCAGTTTATTCGAAGTATTGTTCGTTTTTCTTTTTTCGGAATGAGAACCCATCGAGCATTTGATTATTCTAACGTAAACAAACAAATCGTCTTTACGAATTATAATAATAGAAATTATAATTTCCCCATAATTACGAGTATAAATTATGCAATTGTTCTGAGTTTAATCTAGTAAAATAAAAACGTTATAATGACATCACGTAAATATAATAACTTAATTAAATTGCTCATGCTAACGAATGAATTTTGCTTAACACGACGTAGAATGTGTCCGTAACCACCACCACCAATTAACTAACACAGGCGTATTTAATGGACACAGTCTGCCGACATTAATTTTAGTCGCACTTACTGTATAAAGTTTAGTTATTTAAGAATA